ATTTTTGACCGTCAAATCATTAGACGGGAATATAGAACAATGCCTGTCAAATCTATTAGCGAGATCGTTTCATTTTAAAACTCTCAACCCAGTAGGCGGTCATCCCTCCACACCACCCCAGGAAGGCTTTTAAGGAATTCTAGCACCGTCCCGGAAGGGGTTATTATTTAATTATCGCGTCTTTGATATGTCCTTGTGCAATCAGCGTCACTTCTACACTTCGACGATTCTCTTTAATAATATTATAACAATCGAAATAAATATCCATTCTGAACGCCTTTTGTTACAGAACATTTGAAAATAGATCATAAAATGCCTAATGTTGCAAATAATATTTCTTTTACTTGTGTTTTGACATGGTCAAGATATTATAATAAAGCCGAATCGATCTACCGTTTTCAGACAAAGTATACTTGAGCATTCGTTGCAAACTTCAAAGGGATTATAATACGTTTCGATAAAGAAAAACTATCTCTCTATGATGGATCATGCAGAAAACTTTTCCACGAAAGGGTCTCGAGAAAAATCTGTCCCAGGATCAACATAAAAGGATTTCGGTCAAGTTTGCGATCGCATAACGTCGTTGTTAAGATACGAAGTCGGGGGAAAAGGCTAGTATTTGTAGACTGAGGGCTGTTTTTTTAGCAGTCACACACAATCGCTGCTGTGCTAGTGTGTAAAGAGGCGTATTAATTTATTGTCGATAAAAGTTAAATTCAATAATTGAATTTTAGTTTTTCTTTATGTTCATTTCATACTTTGATAATAACATAATTGTTGGTAAATTTATAAATAAGTCAAAATTAGGTGGGTAAAGTATTTATAAATACAATTATTTGTATTGAAGTTACTAAATATCAGAATCTGATTAATAGTTTTTTTTAGAGGAAAAGATTGAAGAAGACACCGTACTAAAGTCATTAAACACGAGGAAGTCAGCAACAGCTCTGAGGATAACTGACATACTCAGAAAATGCTTCTTTCTGTTTTGTTTTAAAATTAAATATTTTCGATTAAGATTGATGTAGCTGCTGATCTTATTGATTTAATTAGGGCCAATTCCAAAGGTTTTGGTACAAAATACCGAGTGAACCGAGTGTTTTTTTCTTCTCTAGTGAAATTATCTTTAGATTTATTATGAATATATCAATTGCAATATCTGTTTAACAAATATTTTATCAAAGAGCATAATTTTATCGATACTTTAAATTATCGAATAAAACGAACACCCTACGGCTAAAGTCGGTGCCCAGTGGTCCGGCCCTCGGAGCCAAATTGATTTATTTCTTCATATGAAAATTGCGTCCCGAGTATTCCTAATATTGTATCAGGAGTACGAGCGAGGGCTTCCTTTTGCTCTTTGATCCCAGATAGGTTCGGTTTTGTTTATGGTAGGATTAAAAAGGCTCTTTGAGGAATACCTTCGGTAGAACGCCTCCATATATCACATATTTTTTCGACGAGAGCTCCTAGTTTTTTAGACTGTTTATTTTTTTATGCTGAAAGCCTGAACACTATCGGCACTTTGGGAAGAGTGGTTCTTTGAATATAGGTGGTGAAGAGATTTGCTATTCAGGTCTAAAAAGGTTATATATTGCTTTTTATTTCTTGCAAACACTAGTTCACACTTTCTTGTGTTACACAACGTTATGCACAGTCATATGTCATGCTAGCCTAAACTGTTATCTCCAACAGACTCTAATCTTTAGGTTGCTCGATATAAAATCTATATTCGATTGAGAAAATTTACATTTCGTCGTTACTTGCAATACGCAAGTTAGATATTCTTTTTCTGTAGTACGCTTATCGACTTCTTTAAACCGCAACGATTGGTTACGAATAGTTTCAATAAAACAATTGGCACTCGAGTGTGAACCAAACATAAATTTGATTCTAATCTCAAACCTTTCAGGTGGAAGTTTTTTTTAATGCTTTGAGCGGCACTTCAGCCTGAAGAGGTTTGCTTTTATATGCACTTGTGCTGTGCTATTTCTGTCAGAGTACCGTAGGCCACTTCTCGTGGGGAACACTGCACGGTTGTAACAACTGCTGTATCAGCTATCTTCGCGTCTGGACTTCACTGTCACTTAACATCAGGTGGGGTGGAGTCATTTGTCGGACCTATCGATAAAAAACGACCCTAATGGTATGTACACCGGTTTTCAGGATATCGCCTATACTCAGAGGTCCCAGGTCGGAATCCCAGTGGGGCAAACGTTTGTGTGATGAATACCAGCATTGTACCCCAAATCATTAATTAGTGGTTGTGTTTTAAAATACCTATGTTTTTCTAAATAAAAATATCTATTCAATATATAAAACTCAAAGGTGACTATGACTGACTGACATAGTGATCTATCAACGCACAGTCCAAACCACTGGACGGATCGGGCTGAAATTTTACATGCAGGTAGATGTTTGACGTAGGCATCCGCTAAGAAAGGATTTTGATCACTTCTACCCCCAAGGGGATAAAATAGGGAATGAAAGTTTGTATGAAACTTTGACAATTTTAAACCGATCGGGCTGACACTTTGCATGCAGGTATAAGAAGAATCATAGATGAATTTTGTTTGTGTATAATACAAGCCTGAGAACAAAAACTGTAGTCTACACTTCAGCTCTACACCGAAGCGAAGCGAGGGCGGGGCTCAAAGTCAAATATTAATTTGACTAAAGTTAAAAAGGTGTATTATTTTTCGGCGGTTTTTTTTTTTGTCAAGAAGTTTTCTAAGAATCCAGGTTCGTCGCTACATAAACGTAGGGCTCAGAGTTTTCTTAATTGTGATCATGGTAACGATTACTTTGAATAGAAGATTATTGATTGGGATAAAATATTTTTGAAGTTATACTTCTTTAGGCGCGTTATGATAAAATGATGAGAGTGAAATTTTGAGATGCGCGCGCATCACTGTAACACAAAAAATTAACAGCATGAAGTTGGTCGCTAAAGCTTTTGTGTTTACCGCACATTAAGAAAATCTACCAACAAAATAGAAATAGAATCTCTATTTTGTGGCTGCTAACGACTGCATTGTGAAGGCCTATCAAAAGTATTTATTAATCTGGAACAACGGAACCAAAGCGCGATTCAGGAGACTACAGCGCCATCTCTTGACCATTGGTGTAGTAGAACCAAAAACCACATCTTTATTTTTTGTAATAAAGTAACAGTTATAGGTATTCATAATATTTATCCACATGTTTCTAGTTTGTATATTCGGAATACGTGTTTGAGTTTCATACAAGTGCAAATCACATATGTTCTAATAAATTATATTCAGTAGCGATTTTAATTGAATATTTTGATTATTTATTTATTTTTTCAAATTAAAACTGAACTTTATTGACTGTGTCCTTTTCCAGACTTTTCATTAATTTATTGTAATTAATTATTTGCATGCAATTAAAAACTAATTTTAAACGATGCCAAAGAAGGATAACTTCTCACGCGCCTACATAAGTACACGCACCCATTTTTTTGACATGCCGATTCTCAAGCAAATTGTTGTTACCTATTTAGTTAAGCAAAAGATTTTTTTTGGAGTCGCAAACATTTATAATTCCTTAGTTTTTTCGCGTCAGAGAAGCTCGATAACGCAGGTTTTAAGCGCATTCGGCCTGCGATCGTGAAATTAAGCAACTTCCGCGACGTTCTGCCATGGGATGGTTGAATCGTGCTTCGGGAGGCATGTTTAGCCATTGGTTCTGGCTGTTTCTGCAGTTAGTTCGTTCCTCGTAGTGGGTCACGGCCCAGACTACTTATTCCATCTATAGGGAAGCCATGTGCCCCAGCAGTGGGTACATTAATAAGCTGATGATAATTTCGCGTTTGTAAATTGATTTTTTCTTTGTATATGTGGGTGTAAACGACGAAACAGGTCCAACGATTCAACATTCATTCCACACCCAAGTGCTAGATAAAGAGAGTTTGGTCACCCATCCTAAGATTGGCCATCGCGAAAGTTCGAAAAAACCACTTCGAAATCGACCTTCTTTGTACATAAATATACATTCCACGGAAGCGAGACCGTAAATCGAGTGACGTGTAATTTTCAGTGAACGGTGCGCCGGCCGCCAGTAAAGAGTTGATTTACGAGCACTCGATATGGATCGCGATATTTCAGAATCGGACCCCATATAGGACCACTTGTTATTGTAATGAGTTTTATACATCACTGGAATAAGTTTCCCCTAAGGGAGGGTTTATCACTGTCCTTCGTCAAATGGACACCGTCCTTGCTCTTCTGTTGACAGTCCGATACCGAATTCGAAGGACAGTGCTTAAATCATGGTTTTTTTGACGTAAATCTAAATTTTACTAAATCAAGGTTTTCCCGTTTCAGCGGTAAATTAAAGTGTGTACCTACAACAATCTAAGTACACTATACGAGTATGATACATTAAAGCCGTAACTTGAAGTAAACTAAGACAAACGCTGGAGAAGCATAAAGTTATCGCTGTATTTACTTTCACTTGCATACAACGAACTAACACACCGACAGCTCGACGCTAAATTTTTTTGAACTTTACAATGAAGAGCAGTAGAGAAATATGAGGGAAAAACTTTTTCAATGAACTGAACTAAAAACGCTGTCAGAAAGTTGTGCGTCCGCAACAAAAGACCGCCAGCGTCCCGTGAATACTGATCAGGGGAACTGATATTAAATTGTATATTTATAACGAGTTTTCAGTTAATTTCACCTGCATTGTTACAAAAACGGACTAACGAAGTTGACATTTGAAAACAGTTTGATTTAACACCCAAAATCTCGTCTTTTATTTTTTACGGGACCTCATAACAACCTGTTTTCATATTCACATAACTTAGTGTTTGTGTTCGGTACAAACAGTCGCCAGAACGTTCAGCGACGAATCAAGTTTACGCTCGGAAAACAAACGAGAGTCGCGCCGCGCTCCAAAAAGGCCGCATGCATACACGATTACAAGTTACACGAAAAAGTTGAGGCGCGAAAACAAGCGGCGACGGAGCTGCGTCGATGCGATGCAGGGAGAGGAGACGGCGGCGTCGCGGCGCCAGTCGACCGGCGGACGCCGCGCACGACGCACGCCGCGCGCCATGTGACACGCTGCCGGCGCAGGCCGCCATGACCGAGGGGGCGGGCAGGCCTAGGCCCGCGCCGCCCCGCAAGCCGGACTCGCTGGCGCTCGCGTGGCCGCGCTGGGACGACCCACCACCCCCAGCGCCGGAACAGAAGCGACCCGGCCCTTCGCCACTCCGCGATGACTTTGGCGCTTTCAGCCCTTACACGCCTCCGAACCCTATACAAGCCGACCGGCGTCCCCGTCGGCCCCAAAGTGTTGTGTCGCCCCGACCTCCGAACGCTCAGCTCGCTCGCCGGCCGCACTCGATCGGCTCGATCGACGATGAATGGCCTCAAGTACCTCTGTTGCAGCCGGTGCCGCGCCGGCTGCGGCCCGTCGCGATGTCCACGCTCCCGCGCGCGGTCAACCTGCCGTCCTCCAGGAGTGATTACCAGTTGCAAAGGCCGGCGATTATGACGAACGGTTACGGCGCGGTGCCGCCGTCGACGTCGCGCCGGCTGTCTTTGCCGGGTGGTATGCAAAACCCGCCGAAGACTTCCGCCACCTTCCACGGGCTGGCAGCCCTCGTGGGACCTCATCCTACTCTGGGAACCCCTGGCACTCCGAGCACCCCGGCTGCGGTCAGGGAGGCCGTGAGGCATCTCCTGATGCAGCCTCGCAACGGCTTCCCCATCATGGACCACAAGCTGTCACTCTTCATCGAGATCTTGGACGCTCAAGAGAAGTTTTCTCAGGTGGGCCCGCCGCAGGTGTTTACCAACTTTTACTTTGATTGATTCGAATCGTAATTTGACTGTGTCCTTACAAATGATAATGCAAACGTCGGGGGAGGGCGAGTCAACTTTGGCGAGTGTGTCGCCGAAGTTTGCTCGAGCTCAATCATCTTGTTTCGTGCGAAGTTTATAATGTTTACAGAAGGATTTATTGAATAATCCCGGCGTGAGGAATGCGAGGGACGAGCTCTGGCGCCGTCCCGCCAGTACGCCGGATTCCGTTTTTAATCCGCTTAAAAGTCTAGAAGTAGAGAGAGTTCTGAGCCATTTAATTCTTCGCCCGAACTCGGGACTCGGGTACATGTATATTTGGGCTTAGGATTTCTTGTCTGTCGCAACAGATGACTGTGTCGCGGAACTTTTTCAATAATTTTCAACAAGTATTGTTAAAGTTCGGTTGCTTCATACTTAAATACTTTTGGGGTATTCTCCGCTATTTGTACTGTTTATAGAAGAAGTATTTTTATTATATGTACGTTATTGTACTGTTAATGAAAAAGTATTTATTTTTATGATGATAATAGGGACAAAAACTTGGTTTACTTTCATAATTTACTTTTTAAGTTTGACTAAGAATGATGCTGGAAGAAAATAAAATAATAAATCATCAAACTCAAAATAAATATATAATAAAGAAGTCTTTCCGCACACAATATTAGTCATTTTATTTTGAAATGTTTGCTTAAATATTATCATAATACATTATTATATTATAAACGTATTCACAATACATTTGGGGTACAGCGGAAATGAGCTTTCGCCTTATGAAATTTGAAACTCTTCATTATTTGATTTCATATTAAATTAATATTTCACTGTGTGGATTCATTACAAATAAAACCCGGACTGTTTGTTTGTTAATATTTTATTTAATAGAGTCTGCCGAAAATAATGTGAATCCATGCGAATTTTCATTGCTTATTTCAGCTGTGTCTAGTTTATTTACGCTACAGTATGTAGCTCCGAAGTCTTCTACATTTTGTATTTTAGTATTAAACTCGTCTATAGTTTTGTTTAACGTTTTGAAACTTTTTAGGCCGAACTCAGAGAAGTTAACTAAGTTTTTCGTTTGACTTTAGTTTATACTGTCAAGTCCAATGCAATAGTAATAGAATAGACAACACGTGACTTAATGGGATATTAAATGAATTTGACGATTCGTAAAAATGGAAGGCATCTTTTCAATGTTAAGATTCTGTAGATATTGTGCATGAGTGTGTAGTTAATGTAGAATCTATTAAGTTCGTAGCAGACACATTACTCTGAAAGGGATAGTTAACGCCGAAGCACGAACATTGGTATTGTCATCGTCAAATTTTGTATGGAAGAAGTTAGTTCCTTCTTACGACCGGTAGGGGCGCTGCTTAATTTTCATAGAAACTCTGTCGATGCGATATGTTACGGAGCTGTCAAAGTTCTCGTTTCAGCCTCTTTATTCTTTGTATGTAACTTCATACTGCAACACGCACTTATCGAAGTCGTAATGTAATCGCGTCGCTTCGGTTCGACATCGATTTGTTAAAGTAAAGATCCCTTTTCGAGTTGATTAAAGTCCAAAGCAATATGCATCATCATCAAGAGTTAAACATAAAGAATAAAAAATACCATAAAAAAGCACTTATTAAAAAAGGTTATTACAAAGTGTCCGATTATAATTATAACAGGCTAAAATGCTTAATGTTGGAACTGTTCCAATCATTCCAACAGGTTTTCTATATGAAATAAATCACGATTGTGTCGACGTTGCAACAACAAAATGATTTGTAAATGATGTCACATTATCCATAACTAAAAAATATGTCCAATAAAGAGAGAGAGGGGCATATAATGATTTGGACGATTCAAAAGAATAGGGATGATGACTAATTTTAATTTTTTTCTTCGTTTATCAGGTAGATTATTTAAAAGTATTGGACACGTATATTTTATTTTTTCACATAATATAAACATTGCAGAGATATATTGATTTGAAAAGTTGCATGACGTCACGTTTTGGTACAATTTTCACTTAAAAGTGACGTCACGAGCCCCTACTCCCAAACTTTGACGCGCTATAACTTTGTCATTCTTTGGTTGATTGCCCAAAGAAAAAATACGTGTCCATTATTTTTTGTACATCTAACTGACGGACTTTAGTTTACTGTACCCCGTCATCACCCCTAATAAGTTCGAACCTTTCGTTATTATTGTAGTGTGGTGTTAGTTAGCGCAAGTTCGCACTGCAACAGAAATTTCTCAGATAAACTTGTGCTTATATAGAAGCTTAAGATTTACTTGTTTACTCCAACTTGGTATAAAGTGAAACTTTGTTTTTTTTTACTTATGACCTTTATTTAATATAACAGTACCGTCTCGGCTTGACTTACGATTTTATAACAAATAATAAGTGTAAAGAAAATAGTACTAGAGAAAAATCCACGTGGACCAGGCAACAGACGGGATTCGAACCCGCACCCTTCGCTATCCTGGCGAATACACTGATCATTATACCACTCCGGAAGGCTGTATCGAATTTTCTCCAGCCCTTTCTTAAGTTGCACGGCAGCGCCATCTCTTCGCATTGTAGGCAACTGTCCACCACAATCTCAAATGAATACCTTTACAAGTGTTAAACATTTGAAAGAAGAAATAGCAGTTATAGTTATATTTATATATTACATCTAGCAGTCATATGCTAAAAATTAAAATTGTAAATATAAGTGTTGAGATTGCAGTACCACAAAAACACCACCTCGATTTCCAATTTCTTGATGGATTACACAATAACATTCTTTGTGTAAACATGCAAATGCTGTCCGTTAAAATACAAAAAAAGGTCAAAAAATAAGTATCGAATGCGTAGAGCCTTGACAAAATCTTAAATATTTATCCTTTAACTTACCGGAAGTGAAAGCTCAAACTGATGGCATGGCTCAAGACCTTGGATTATGATGAAACTGAAAGCCTTCAGAATCTTACTTACTAGCGAATAAAAAGAGCATTTGTACACACATACTCACGTATACTCGTCACACTCACACACATGCACACACACGAACACGCACACACACATACACACGCATACAGACACACACTCAACCGCTTATATAAATTATAATTTAATTAATTAATCTAAAGAAAAGTTTACTAGAAAAAAATCCACGCGGACCAGGCAGCGGACGGGACTCGAACCCGTGTTTAATACTTTTTCAAGTATTAAACATTTGAAAGAAGAAATAGCAATTATAGTTATGATTTTATTTATTTTTTAAGCATTTAACTGCTAGATGTTTAAAAGTATTCATTTGACATTGTGGGTTACCTACAATGCGAAGAGATGGCGCTGCCTTGCAGCTTAAGGCTAGGAATATTTCGACGCGGCTAATAGGGCCGTGGTAGCATAATGGTCAGTGCGAATGCACCCGGATAGCGAAGGATGCGGGTTCGAGTCCCGTCCGCTACCTGGTCCGCGTGGATTTTTTTCTAGTAAACTTTTCTTTAGATTTAAACATCTAGCAGTTAAATGCTTAAAAAATAAATAAAATCTTAATTAATTAAATAATTTTTTTATAATGTTTTAAAAATCCAATGAAATAAAATTAAGACCTTACCATAAGATATATTAATGATGCTATGGGAGAGTGGTTCCTTCTGATACAGGTGTTAAACACTTAATAGAAGGAACCCACCCTGGTTTGGTGTACAACAAATGTGGTATCGTAATAAACTTTTTTGATTTTTTGATTAGCCATTTTCGAATGATATGGTTTTCTTTTTATATGTTACAATGCGAATTGAATATTTTGAGGTTTGAGTTTATTCGATTTAGACCGTTACAAGCGTGAAGGAAGAGGAAATAAAAAGAGATTGATGGCGCTTCTTCGATCTGTGATCATAGAACCTAAGCAACTGGCATAACATGAACCAAAATGTATTATCCCGAGGTCCTCTGCGCTTAAGAAATTACGTTAAGACCGTGGTCCCTGTCTGGAGCCGTTAGCAGCCATCCGCGCGCGTGGTGAATAATGGCTTACACTCTTCACTCCATCCCCATAGCATTGGGGATGTTAATACGCTGATGATAAGGATTACTCCGTAATGTTGTATTTTTATATGAAGGGGGCTAACAACCATATGACCCGCCTGGCAAACTTTTGCAGTGGTCAGTCATTGGATGGGTGACCAAAAATTAACTATCTCGAGCTCCTCCGTGCTTAAGCACGTTAAGTCGTTTGTCCCGGCTGCATCTGCAGTCGTAAGCACCCACCAATCCGCACTGGGCCCGCGTAGTGGATCATGGCCTAAACTCCCTATTCCATCCATAGGGAAATCCCCAGAAGTAGGGACGTTAATAGGCTGATGGGGGTGATGATGATGACCCTTTAAAGCAACTGCCACCATAATCAATGGATGTTTGCGATACAAAAAATATAACTCGCGCCTTTGCCTACCCTGATCCAATTCTCTACCCCGTGCAGCCCTTTAGACTTATTCACAGAAAGATAGACCCAACACCAACAAAAGGTAGTTTTATTTTACTCTTAAGAGCCCTTTCACATTTTTTGCAAAAAATCGTAATTTTTGAGCGCCTCGTTTACCCCTTAAGATAAGATTTCGACTATTTCCAGTAAAAGTAAACAGTAGATTTATTCTTTCTATTGTAAGTTAATGTAGAATATTTGCAAATACTATTTTCCCTTTTTTGTACTGATCGTTCTACCGCAGCTAGTTTACGGAAAAAACGATAATATGCACAACTTCAAACGCCTGAATCTCTAAATAATGTTCAATAAATTAGATCAAATTAATTACTTCAACATCTGAAATATATTTTTGTTGTAACATAATGTATTAGAATTTTGATTTTCTATCTCATTAATTATCAAAAAAAACATCAAACCTCCGTGAGTTTTCTCAAAAAACAATGCAGGTTTACCTGTATTTTGATATTGAATTAAATAGAATTACTATCAAAAACTTTCATAAAACTAATCTACCATTATTGAACTACTAAAATATTTATA